AATCAACACCAATCAAGATTTTAACTAGATTGACGATTATCGCTTCTGATCCATCCCATTACAACTCACTGGTATGTTGGTATCTGGTTCTTGTTGTGCATTTATTAAAACCTAGTAGTACACTGCAAGCCCATCTACTGCCTTTACTAGAAAAAAAATGTTATCAACATGCAGTGCGTTATTGGACGATTATTGTAGATTTGCTTAAAAAAAATACATGTCCCTCCCACTTACATCCATTGCACCTGCAGCTAAAAAAGAGAAAAATTGAACATAGTAGCTAAGTGCTACAAAAATGTCCCAGGCCGGTGAAGTTGTTTCAGAAAATGCTGTTCTGCATTAAAATTTGCAATATTGTAATAAACCATTTCAAACACAAAATAATACAGTCTTGAAACATTGAGGTATGATGTATATTTCCTCATTATGTATTTTTCTCAGAGGTCAACGTCAACATTAACAAGACCTTATGATATCGTGGCTGTGTATCCCAAGACTGAGAAGTTATTTCATGTAAGTGATTCTGACCTCTGCTCTTTTTATATACTCTTGTCAGGAAATATCCTAGCAGTATACATTTTATGTATTTTAAAGTGGAGCTGCTTCCAAGGCTTTCTGTAGTTTAGGATGGAGTGGTAAAGAGTTAGACCTTTTTTTGTGGTTTATATTTTGTTCACATTTCCCATTTCTGTATAACACAACTGTGAGGGAGGCGAAATAGATAGCCGTGAGTACAGATGGCAAAGAAAAAACTTCTTTTTTTTTTCTTGTGGATTGTTCCCTGAAAGAATTTGACATCGATTTCTGATGCACTTCAAACAGAATATGGCAGGAGCATGCTGTGGTGACTAACCAACAGGCTGGTATTCTGCATGCATAAGATGAAACGTTTTATCGGGAAGGAATTTTTTTTCCCCTGTTGGAGCAAATTGAACCATGCTTTATAGGGGTTTTTTTGCCTTCCTCTGGATCAACAGTGGGTGATTGGTGGCATAACGTTCTGTTTAGGCTTTTCTTCTTTTTTTTCATATCTCTATAGGTTGAACTCGATAGACATGTGTCTTGTTTAAACCTGATTAACTATGTATTGTATGTCAATTATGCAAAGTGTTCAGAAATCTTTTCTTTGTAAAATCATTTTAACGTCTTCCTCTGTCATATACCAGGCTGCTTGTACAAGCATTGACGTAGATGTCATCTGTATCAATGTAACCGAAAAATCTCCATTCTTTTTCCGAAGCCCACCTATAAGTGCCGTAAGTCTTACAAGTAGAGCAAGTTGATCGTAAACATGATTCAATACCTTTTTATTATTAGTACTCCTATTTCATTTGAAGGCTTTATACAGATTGCTTCTTGCAGCAGAGAACAGATTCTACTATAGAGACATTTGGCGCTTTAATGAACTTTTCAACTTTAGAAAGTGAAAAACCCCTTATGGGGAGTGATACCGAGCTCCAGCGGGCCCACTAACTTATCTTCCTGCTAGTCTTCTGTTTTGAATCCAGTTATGTGAATATAAGAGGAGATACTGGTCAGTCAATTTAGCTGAAAAGACAGGTGCCCTAATTCCTTCCAGTCTGTTTTTGTTTTTCTTTTGCTGGACATTTTTTTTTACACCTAAAATGTACCTAACCCAAAAACAACAATGTAATGCGTTTCAGCTTACCAGTCTTCAAATGTGGTGGCTGCATTAGTTTTCTTTTTTGGCTTTTTTTCCTTAGCTTTCATTTGCTGATCTAGCTAATAACAGACTTCCTGGGTTAGTGACATTAATGGAGATCCCCCCCAATGCTAGTTAAGGACTTGGCTTAAATGATGCCTCTTGATCCAATCATCATCATCTTTCCTGTAGTTTTCAGCTGTCCCTCCAGTGCTGGTATCGGTCTCTGATCCAGCGCTGACCGTTGTGTCGTCTGTGTGGGTGCAGACTGCCGGCATAGACTTACATTGTGTCTCTCCTCATCTCCCGGACGAAGATCTCTACAGTGCATACGCCCGCCCCATCAGCCTTTGCGGCTGCCCGAGATTTTTCAGATCTTTGGACGGGAGCGCACAGTGGAGACACAGGTGTGTTTTTTTTACCCTTTTTGTAACTTTTTTTTTTTTTTTTAACTACCTCCCGGCCGGTGCGGGAAACAGTCAATTTAAAAACAGGCACCGATGCCTGTTAACATACAAGCGATCTGCCGGCTCTATGAGCTGCCGGCCCGTGTCCCCCCTCCACGGCCCCCCCTCCCGTTGTCAAGCTGGTCCCGGGCTCCACAGGGGATCAGAGGGAGGTCGGTACAGGTTTATTACATCACTTCCGCATTCTTGTGTCACTCTCCAACTTCAGACGCTGGAGAGAAGCTGATGAAGCAGATCTCTGCTTCATCAGCTTCTTCAGGGGGGTCCTAGGTGAAATTTTTGTTAAAGCCCCCACCCATACATGCACGCATGCAAACATGCGTCGGTTGATACTTGGAGATTTGGAGGCGCACAGGGGTACACGTGGAGATGTGGAGGAGCACAGGGGTACTCATGGAGATATGGAGACAGACAGAGCCATGCTAGGGGCACAGGGGACCCTTGGAGCATTCCAAACACTAATTTCAAAGCTTTAAATATAGTGTATTATGTCACTTTTGTCATTTTTGAGAGAGGCCTGGAACCTAATTCCCTCGCTTCCCATTGATGTACATTATATACCGTGTACACACACACTCTTTATTCTCATTTTCTTTCTAGGCAATTGAGCGAGGCATCTTTTTTGAACTGATTTACACTCCAGCCATCAAAGACTCTACATTAAGGAGATATACAATTTCAAATGCGCTCAACTTAATGCAGACCAGCAAAGGAAAGGTAAGTAATTATGTTGTGTTGCATTGTACAGTCTTACAATACCACAGTTTTGGTCCTCCGCCTTGCAGAGATGTAGTGTTGTAGCATAAACGAAGTTACAGTGACCTGAAGAAAAAAAAAAAAACTGTTTGATTCTTGTGTATAACTTGTGGGGGCTAAAATAATAAATGCATGCTTATATAACAGGTGTTTAAAATCATCAGAAAGCACATATATTTCGCTGACTCACTAAAACACATTAAGTCAGTTATGTTCTTGCAGTCATGCTGACATTGCCTGATGCAGGTGAATTACACAGCATGACCACACTAGCGTAATGTAGCATTAATGATGCTGCACAGCAGGGATACATTGTAGGACTGCAGACTCCCCGTGGCCTGTTTTGGATTTCATTGTCTACAGTGAACATGCTGGCTTTTATTTTCTCATTATGAGGGCCAAAAATGCTCTGCAACACTTTAGATTCTATGGGTTTTTTTTCCTGGCAGTGTGACATTTAACAGACATGTTTGTTTCAGAGACTTGTGGTCATTTCTTTTAGTTTCAGGAAATCCAATTATAAAAATATTTGTTTGCCAGTACCTGGAAACCGCGTGAATGCCGGTATATTTAGTCACAACCTGTAAATGACGGCTAATAGGGAGATGTGCTCAACGGGGACAAGATCCCAGCAATGTTCGTACACATTTAGGACTTGTACACACCCTAACGCATACAGCAACTCACCATGACCGTGTTTTTCAAATGTGCTGCTCTGCGTTCAATAGATTGGAATGGGACTTGGAAGGGGAATACATCTAGAGATGCAGCATGTCGCATTCTTTCACAAGCAGTGATAAATAGGCTATCACTCAAAAGTGTAATCCAAAATCGTATTCATTAAATCTAAGCATGGTTACAGTCTGCAATCCAACGTTTGTCAAGGCTACATAAAGTGCTGTATAAAGGGGATATTTATGTTCATGAAAAATTGGTATGACTGTAACTATGCTCAAATAAAGTAAAGTGGATTACACTTTGTAGTGCTGGTCTCTTTATCATAGTTACTGGCTATTTTACCCAATGAATCTCAAGGCTACAGGTGTGTGTGTGTGTGTGTGCATAATGATTTTAATCACAACTTGCCCAGTGCAGCATATGTGAGAAAATGTGCTCCGTTTTAAAGAATTGTTTTCTGCATTTTATCTTTCATGTAAAACTAGGTAATGTGGAGGGTGAGAACAGTCTTATGTGGAACCTTTCAGAGCGTTGTTTGATTCTTACTGTCCTGTGGAATAGAAATCCCTAATACTATTTATCTGCACTTCCTTGACACTTAGGGACACCCCCTTATCCTGCTTGCGGTACTAACATAGAGCACGTTTTATATATAAGTGCTAATATGAATATCTAATAATATATTCTGTATGTTCTAATGATTGATTGTATAAAACTTGCTTTTGAGTTACTTTCCTCACTTGTCTCCTCTGAGATGTTAAACATCAGCTTGTGCTGTTGTGACAGCATCTGATTCACAAATCCTGGCACCAGGCCCGGTCATTTAAGTCCTAAGGGCAGTCATTGTTCTCTTGAATTGTTTATTATAACCTCATGCCTGCAGCCTGACCTGCCACCAAGCCAAATCAATCTCTCAAAAAAATATGTGCTGGTTAGAAGGGCAACTTCTTGAGAAGCCTAGGGCTCTGCTGTGAGATTGTTTGCTTGTTTTAGTAAATGCTCGGTTTCGGCACAGATTGCACTGCACAAAGTATTAGTTTAATTTCGGGTACATGCATCAAAAACCTTCACTTTTAAAAATAAATTTGACAGTACGCTAATATAATAAGAAGGTGCAGCCTTGGAGAAGAAAATTTGCTCTGCAAAATGTTTAGTAGGCATGACACAAGGTGGTACTATTCTGCTTCCTTGGGTGGAGGGAGATGCAATATATTGCTGAAAGTATTGGGACGCCTGCCTTTACACGCACATGAACATTAATGGCATCCCAGTCTTAGTCCTTGGGGTTCAATATTGAGTTGACCCACCCTTTGCAGCTATAACAGCTTGAACTCTTCTGCGAAGGCTGTCCACAAGGTTTGAGAGTGTGTCTATGTGAATGTTTGTCCATTCTTCCAGAAGCGCATTTGTGAGGTCAGGTACTGATGTTGGACAAGGCCTGGCTCGCAGTCTCTGCTCTAATTCATCCCAAAGGTGTTCTATCAGGTTGAGGTCAGGACTCTGTGCAGGCCAGTCAAGTTCCTCTACCCCAAACTCGCTAATCCATGTCTTTTATGGATCTTGCTGTGTGCACAGGTGCGCAGTCATGTTGGAACAGGAAGGGGCCATAACCAAACTGTTCCCACAAAGTTGGGAGCATTAAATTGTCTATACTGTCTTGGTATGCTGATGCCTTAAGAGTTCCTTTCACTGGAACTAAGGGGCCAGGCCCAAGCCCTGAAAAACAACCCCACACCATAATCCTCCCTCCACCAAACTTTACACTTGGCACAATGCAGTCAGACAAGTACCATTCTCCTGGCAGCCGCCAAACCCAGACACGTCCATCGGATTGCCAGACAGAAGCGTGATTCGTCACTCCAGATAACACGTTTTCACTCCTCTAGAGTCCAGTGGTGGCGTGCTTTACACCACTGCATCCAACGCTTTGCATTGCACTTGGTGATGTAAGGCTTGGAAGAAGTTGCTCGGCCATGGAAACCCATTCCATGAAGCTCTCTACGCACAGTTGTTGTGCCAATCTAAAGGTCACACCAAGTTTGGAGGTCTGTAGCTACATCTGCATGCTTCAGCATGCGCTGACCGCGCTCCATCATTTTACGTGGCCTACCACTTTGTGGCTGAGTTGCTGTTGTTCCCAGTTGCTTCCACTTTGTTATAATACCACAAACAGTTGACTGTGTAATATTTAGTAGAAAGGACATTTCAACGGATGGACTTATTGCATCGGTGGCAACCTATCCAGTACCACGCTTGAATTCACTGAGCTCCTAAGAGCGACCCTTTCACAAATGTTTGTAGAAGTAGTCTTCATGCCGAGGTGCTTGATTTTATACACCTGTGGCCATGGAGGTGATTGGAACACCTGAAACCAATGATTTGGAGGGGTGTCCCAATACGTTTGTCAATATAGTGTATGTAGAAGCACCGATGTCGACCTTTTTATATTGACATTAGAAGTGGCAAAATCCTGTCCTATTTTAGTACAGTGCCACCACTACCGCCCATAACAAGTGTTATCAAATTCGGGGACTTGAATTTACTTTGTAATTTATTGGAAATAATTTCTTTTTTTTTCAAATCTCGGTTTATTGAGCAAGAAAAAAATAAAACAATAGGTTGGTATATTATCAAATCGTAAAGGTCTGCACGCAGGCAACCAACTTGTTCAATATAACATACAAGAATGTACAAAACATAATGGTGTACCTAACTTCAAAACGAGGCAAAACAATTAAAGGCACAGTGGCATATCACCAGTTCCTGAGCCCATCAATTAGCATCGAGCAAGCCACTGGTCAAGTAGCGTAGTATACCCTATATAAGGCACATAAATTTGCAGCGCATACATAATAATGCTATAGGACGGTAGCTCCCACACTGTGCGGTGTCCTTCCCCTCTTTAGGAATCACCGCAACATGTGCCCTCAAGGAATCCATCGGCAAGGGACAGTGGTGGAGGATGGAGTTGAATAGGAAATAATTTCTATAGTGCAGTAATGTGCAAAGTAATGACTGCTACAAAAAAAGGAAAACAACTCCTACTTGAAAGTAGTTTGCAAGGACCTGTAGACACAACATAACCTTATTGCCCTTTGAGAAACATATCTCTCTATGGAAAAGCAGTTTGTGAAGGTCCTCATGGAACATCTGAAACAAGGAAAGATTCTCCTCTCTGGCCAGCAGCTGCAGTCGGTAGAAAGCCAAATTATGCCACCAGCCTCTCCAGGTCAATGTGCCATATTGTACAACAAATAAATCAATTTAATTCCAACTGCCTGAATTGTGGCCTTTCAGGAGCATGCAAACTGAAACTATTGCAACAAGGCCTTAGCTTTGAAGTCAAACGTCTAATGGGCTCAGTTGTCCTTTTTAAGTAGAAACTGTCATTGATCTAAATATATGGATATAAAATCTCTGATGCAAAGTGTCATTTTGCAACTTTCACGTTTTGGGATATAAAAGCTGAACTGCCTTAAAACTAGTATGCAGTTTGTGAGTCAAAAGTGGCAGATTTCATATGTGGATTCTCACAAGTATTCCTCTTTTCCCTTTAAAAACTAAATGGTAGCAGGCCTGAGCCAAGGCAAAAAACTGATTTTTCCAATGATAAAACAGGAGTGTGCTACAATATGTTTTTAAAGGTCTCACTACACATGTTAGTCTTAATGCACAAACTCCTTTAGATCTCCCAACTATGTAGTGTGTGGGCCTGCCTGAATGGATATGAGTTAAATAAATTATTAAAGTAGGTGCTTATATAATAAATAATTTTGGTAATTCTAATGAAGATTGTAATTCGATTTTAAAGTCAGAATGTATTGTGTATGGGATACATATCGGTCCCCCTACCAAGTGCAAGGTACATTTTGTATTAGGATTGTGTTCAGTCATTTTAATATATCCTCAGTTTAAAGTGTATATACAGTATATATCTTTTGCATAAGACTAGTGTTCCTACATTTTTTAATTTAAGGGTAAATTTGTCTTACCCTTAGTGGTGAATATATGACTTAATCTGTTTTTTTGTTTTTTTTTTCTGCACATGGATAATTCTGTATTTTTTTTTCATTTAGAACATTATTGTTTCAAGTGGTGCAGAAAGGGTAAGTTTTTTGTTTGTTTCCTCTCCTTTATGTGTCTCAACTACTAGCTATAGAAAAGGCTTAAGAAAAGGTAGGGAAGGGTTGTATATGCATTTAGGTATCTACATTACTGGCCCCTGTTTTCTATCCATGGTGTGTAAAGCAGGCATAGTATAAGGGATAGCCTAGTTGCCTTTTATATATTGTAATATGTATGTTCATGGTGTGTCTGTGATAAAAAAATCTACCCAAAATGTAAAAAAAAGTAGCATTTTTATGGGTTTTTGTTTTCTTTCCTTGTAAATTGCAGCCGCTTGACTTGAGAGGTCCATATGATGTTGCCACATTGTATCCTTTTTTTTGTATTTGTCAATGTAAATGGATCAATGGTTTTGTGCCCAGTACGGATTATATTTGCTTATATATACACCTGTGGTTTTTATTAGGGAACCAACGATACCGAGTATTTTGGCGAGTACCTGTACTTGCCCAAATGCTCCGACGCTTACTTTTGATACTGGAACTTCCAGTCAGAGGGAGATCTCCCTCTGACCTTCAATGCCGAAGGAGCATGAAGCTGGCTTTCTTTCCACTTAGGAAGCCATGAGGCGGGTTATGACCCGCTTCCTGATTGACTAGGAAGCTGGCTTCACTTGTTACTAGGCAGCCTGGCTTCCTGACCAATCAGGCGGCACCTAATTACCTTTTGTGACCTAATGACCCTTTCCTGATTGGTCAGAAAGCCACGCTGCCTAGCAACAAGTGAAGCCGGCTTCCTAGCTAATCAGGGAGGCGGGTGATGACATGCTGCCCGGCTTCCTGATTGACTAGGAAGCCAACTTCACTTGCTGCTAGGCAGCGTGGCTTTCTGACCAATCAGGAAGCTGGGAGGCACCCATTGACCCGGCTTCCTGATTGGTCAGGCAGCCTCGGAAAGAGCACCGGCTTCCCAAGCAATCGGGAAGCCGGACGATGGGTGGTGATGCCTTGCCGACTTCCTGATAATCAGGACACACGGCAGCGGTATTGGCAAGTATAGAAAAAAAATATTGGTACTTGTACTTGCATCCCTAGTTTTTATCACTTTTTATTTACTTTAAAATATTTGGTAATGAAATGTCAGGTATATCATTCTGTGTTAGAACCACTTAACATATTATCAGAGGTTTACTGTTTGGATTATCTGAAGGACCTGCCAAGGCTGCCCTGTCAATCAACTGCCGGTCTGCACTGCTGCATGGTGGTAAGTCCCAGTATTAATTATGCCCTCTTTGTCATCACAATGAAAAATGATATCCATATCCAGCTAAATATTTTGTTTGATGCATTTGTCTTTTATATCTAACATACTCCATGATCTGTCTTATTTCATGTTTCCCCAGTTTATAGTTGAAAAGGTTAGGCATTAAGGGTGGGGGCCTGAACAGCTGGGGCATTTATAGTTGAAGTGACACTAAACTCAGGCTCTAAATCTTTCAAATGCAATTATCTACCCTAACTATTAACAAGAACGTAACTTATTTATGCACTAGACCCATGTGTTAAATCCGAAAAATGCATTCAAGAACCTTACCTATTAGCAAAAATGTATCACTTGGCTATAGATCCTCAAATCATCTCTGAATTGGTGCTGACACCGCTCCAAGCTTGTTCCCATGATGGACTACAATCACAAGTTTAGTTAGCCAATTTGTATTGAAATTCTAGTCTATCATGGGTCTGAACTTCAATGGGTGGCTACTTTACAACACACACGGGGACCATGGGGAACAAAAGTAACCACCCTCCAGAAGGAAGGACAGTGTCAGCACCAATTCCGAGATGATTTGAGGAGCATACAGTTGAGTGATACACAAATAAGATACATTTTTGTTAATAGTTAAGCTACTTAAATACATGTGTAAAATGTAACTCCTGAGTTTAGTGTCACTTTAATGGGATTAACTGCCGATGGTTATCGGTTGCCCAAAAATACTAGATTAGTCTTGTTCCCATTTTGGCAAGAGTTCACATGGCTTTGTTTTATTACTTGATTCTTATGCAGGTTGCAATGCACCAAATAACGTAGATATGTATTGTTTAATGTTGAACTCCAGGCTCCCCCCAAAAAAACACAGCTTATTGAAATCGTAATAAAAATATGTGGTTCAGTGCTTTAATTACCTTGTCACGTTCTTGGTCACATATTGCAGTTTTTAGCAGCTCCCAAAAGTAGAAACAAAAGTTGATCTGTGCGAGTGTATCACAAGCAGGGAAACAGCACCTACTTGTGACTGATTTTGCCAACAGCCCTTGCTGTTAACTAATCATGTGGGTTTGCATTGGTGCTCTTTCTGGAGTGTACCTTACTGAATGTTAGACTTATTTGGTCAAATAGATGATAAATATAGGGCTCAAATTAACCTTTTGGGTTTTATCACTAATAGTAGAAGTGGTCATATGATGTATACATGCAGTGGCACTGGCCAGATATAACCTAATCTATGTGCATTAGACCTTGTATATTCATAGCTTTAGCCTGTGTGGTTTAGATCACAAACAAATGAAAAGAATGCTGCTATTTGTCTAGTTATGTGGATTGCTTACCTACGTTCAGCAATCCTGCTGTGCTCAATTTCCGTAAAGATTTTCCAGCTTGGTAGGCACAGTACACAGCTTATTTAATTATGTGTTTTCAACTGCAGAGACCAGAAAGACTGCTTTTGGCATTACATACACAATGAAGAAACCTCTGGTTTTAGAAGATGAAGAATCAGCGGAGGAGCCAGTTACCAAAAAAGCGAAAAAGGAATAAAGTGTGTATATAATTTCCAAAAATGCCAAAAATCTTTTGATCTTTTCAGTTCTTTTTTTTATCTTTTGTATCCCCCCACAGTGAGGGTAGATTTGGAACATATGATTTTTGGGCAGATACTAACTGGGTTATTCACAAAAGGGTGAAGAGTTTGGAGAAGGCAGGAGAAGTGAACAATCTAGGACAACATAGCTGAACTCGAAAGTGACCTGAATTGGAAAATTTTTCCAAATCAGCTATGTTGTCCTAGATCAGGGGTGCCCATAAGGTCGATACGCGATCACTGGTAGATCGCGATGTCCTGTCTTCTCTGGATCCCCGCTGCGCTGCCTCCAGGGGTCTGCTGTGGGGGGCACCTTTTTTTTTCTTTTTGCCACGTACAAAAGGAGCTGGCTACTGCTATGCTTACGCGGTGCTCGTGCGGCTGCCGGCTGAACGTGTCAGACGCGGCAGACGGAAAGGGGCGGGAGTGGCAGTCGGAAAGGGTCGGCCACAGGAGCACTACGGGAGGATAGGACGCCTGCGCCTCTAGAATGCACTGGAATGCGTTAGGGGCATGGGGTTGCCCCACAGCCATGTCCCCCGCCCACAGTTTGATCACCCGCTCATTAGGCACATTAGTGCCTGCATTCCGGTAAAGTGTGATCTGCAAAAATAGTGCTTGCAGCATTTTTGCAGATCGCACTGGACCGAAAAGCAGGAACTAATGCGCCTGGGTTCCGGGTGCAGGCGATCGCACTGTGGGTTAGGGGCCTGGCTGCGGTGTCATTGACTTCAATGCACCGCCACGCCCCCTCCCGCCCCTGAACGCAGGTGTTTTTTCGTTGGTAGATCTCATTGAGCTCGTCATTTGAAAAGTAGATCTCCAGACGAAAAATTGTGGGCGCCCCTGTCCTAGATTGTTCTTCTCCTGCCTTCTCCAAACTCTTCACCCTTTTGTGAATAACCCTTTTAAGTGTGATTGACTTAGTACTTGTTTAAAAAAGGACAGCAGTTCAGAATAGTTTAACAAGTTTATTGTTGAACATTTATTTGTACAGAATAGATCAGTTTTGTCTTTTGAAACCATAAAACAGTAATGGAACATTTGAGATTTGTATTTCTGGTGTAATATCACTATTAAATCATTTGTGTAAATCCCTATTGTCCATTTGTGTAGTTTTGTGGTTCCTCTCCTTCCAAAGCTCGCAGTAAAGATATATAATCCAGGAGCTCTGAAAAAAAAAATGTGTATAATACAGATCTGATTTCTGTGTAGTTCCCATGTCCTGTTCAACTGCACAGAACTCCTCGGTCTAATCACTAGCCCTTAACAATATGCTAGCCCATCAGTGTCAGTTTGGCCTATAAAGGGACAGTGACCACTGTGGATATGTGCACTACAGGCTGCAGTGAAACAAAATTCGTTCTTTGCTTCATTGCTTAGTAGAGTTTAAAATGTTAAAATACAGGAGAGCAGAATTTGATGCAAGATTACTGCCACTAGGTGGTGAACTAGCACCACTGCTCATCCAGGAATTCAATCTTTCTCGTGTTACGTAACAGCTTTTAGGTCTTTTGTTTTACTAGTACATGTCATGTAGACTCTTGTCTCATGATCACAGCCTTGCACAGAGCAATGCAGATGGGGCAGTGTGGCCACACATTATATCATTACAGTAGGTCTGTGATATGAGCAGAGCCTAATTCATGAGATACAGTCTACATCAAGAAGAATAAATACAATATGCAATATTACAAAGGATGGTCAGAATTCGTACCCTTGCTCCATTCTATGTCATTATATTGGTACATTATATAAAGATGTGCAACTTTTTTTTTTTTTTCTTCATAATATATGTACTCAATACAAAATGTACAGAAAATACAATACAAATGTATAAAAGAACAATCTATAGTACAACTTTTCCCTTTTCTATTGCATTTCTGTCTCATCCCATCTAGTGTCTCACCCAGTCTCTAATCCTTCTCAGTCATAGCTCAGAAACCTTATGTCTCTGGAGGATCTTCCAGACCTCACATTATTGGAAAGATCCTACGTACAGGACATCTGGTCCAAGCCATTTTAATATCAAAGTAGCTTGCTGTCCATTCTTCATATGTGAACTAGAGCCACAGGAATCCACAAACAGCTGCAGCCCTTGTTCTGTTGCTTTCCGAGATGTCAGTCAACATGCAAGTCCTTTTTTTATCTTCAATATTCATTTCTGAGAGAAGAAAAAAAGGCCAATGCATCATCAACCTGACAAAAGAACAAACTTTTTCCGGGGCTGTGCTGCTGGGTTCTCCTGGGTTGCTTCTATGATTTAGGAGAGACAGCGTTTTATTTGTATATTTTTTATTTTTTTTTAAACGGTTTCCTAAATTTAGAGAGCAAGCTGTGGCTCTAGGTAGACATCAACCCATATTGCAAGCTGCTTGTAGGGGGGCTCTTTAAACAGAGTGCCAATCAATTCTGCACAATGCTTTTTTCAGTTTTATTCAGAATAAACTGCTTTGTGCAGAGCTATACTAAATTCAGTGAGGCTTATTTATGAAAGCAAGGTCAAAGGAAACATAGAGATGATATTTGCAGTAGTGAAACTCTTTAAACCCATGTTTTGTGCCTTTCTGTTAAAATATTGTTTCACACCTCTATGTACACAACAACCAGTGAAGGATTAACTTTCCTCTTCCATAAACAGAATATGGTTGTTGTGGGTTCTAGCTACAGATCCTTTGGTAGCTTTTTTTTTTTTAATAAACAAGGCCCACTGCTTTTAGCAGATACACCTTTTGCTCAGACTGAAGGTCCAACCTAACCTAATAGGCAAGTTCTAGTCGGAACAAGGTGATGCTTCTGTTCTGAAGCGGCAGCTAACACCCCCATAGTTCCCTAACATTCTAGTTCTCTCCATTCTCTTGTTTAGTAGCTTTGCAAGGCAAAGGGCCTTTTCCCACTATTTATCCACAAGCGGGTAGTCCACGCCACTGCAGAAGCCTCATGCTTCCAAACATACAGCCAAGAGTCCTCTCTCTGGCTTTGTCCTCAGTACTTCTTGTCATGTCGGTCACAACACAATGGCTAACGCCCAGCATGTGTTTCTATACTACTTACATTTAACAAGATTAAAATACAAATATTGGTGTCCTTCATATGACTTAAAAACAGTAATAACAATTAGGCAGTGTACCTGCCACAATTATCCAACACAAAGATTTTTCCTTATGGAATTAATATAAAGCGCAATACCTATATGCAGTAACAAACCATAAATAAATAAATACAGTTTAAAAAATTCAAAGTGCAGGGGATTTAAAAAAAATCTGGAATAGTCATATCAAAGCTTCTTGCATCAAAAAAAAAATGTGTCATAGCTAATGCCTATTCAAACTGTTCTTCTGTCAGAAATTCTGTATGTGAGAGTTCTTGTATGAATTTTCCTGGAGCCCACTGAATATTTCTTTGGCGCCGTTTTGCCACTGAAGGACAAGTTCCATTGGTGTCTTTCCCGCCTGTCAGGACAATTTAGAAAATATTCAGTCAGACAAACACATAAATTACTTGCAGTTTTTCCACTAGATGTGCATAGCTTGACATGTGTACATTCAATGTTTAAAGAACTCAATTAACTACTAGTTTGATCTATAATGGTCACATTAAATCACATATCTTAAAAACGGACAACTCCGTCTATGGAAATAGCCAACATTGGTGTCTTTAGAGCTCTGTCTGTTAGGTATCTGCTTACAAAATTTTAGCTTCTGTATGTGGCTACAACATTTTTCAGGAATTATCCAGTTGTCTTGAGGCAGGGAAGATGTCTCCTTTTATTTGTCTGTATATGTTGTGTTTATCATGATTTAGGGTGTATAGACACAGACTGTTTGTGAGGATGTTGGATCCTTAAAAGAGAACTATGGGATAAGTGTTTTTCCCCATGGTTCTCATAAGGGTCACGGGAGGACATAAACTGGCATCCTCCCGTGTCCCAAAGCTCAGTATATAGCGAGCTATAGCTAGCGGTATACTAAGACCGCCTCAGCCACGACGGATCCCGAGATTACTGTCGAGATCCATCCAGCTGTGTGAGTGACAGCGGGCTCTGCCTATTTAGAGGCAGAGCCAGCTGTACCCTCCCCCGTCCGTTCTTCCACTCAGCGCTGGAGGATCGCAGCGGGGAGGGAATCCTTGCAGGGAGCCGTGACTGACAGTCACTGCTCTCTGCAGGGGGATGATGGAGAAGTGAGCGAGCGACGGTATGTGTTTTGCTTACTTCCCGATCTATTGAGCCGACGTGACCGTTTCATTGTCACACGTCAGCTCGAACTATGAGGAGGAGTTATTTTTTTCACTCGCCTCATAGTTCTCCTTTTTAATTTTCCTGCTTTTCCCATTGCAAGAAAGGTTTATAATGGTTTTAAAGAGTATTCTGCTAATTAAACTTAAAATGGAAGATTTTAAATCTTGCCCCTTTTTGAGTTTGTTCTTTATAAAAATCCTCATGTTTTTACCAGTACAGACTTTTCAATCCCTTTTTAAAGGTTTGTATTTAGCCTGGTGTCAAATATAATTGCATGCAAAAAAAAGAATGTTTGTCAGGAACTTACGCAATTTTTGACTGAGAAATTGGCCCCATACATAATCAAGAGTCTCATCATTTTGTAACGATTTAGTCTGACTCCATCGTGCATTGGTGTATCCCCTTCCTGCAGAAAAACATAATGTTATAATATTTTAGGGATTCACATGGCAAAATGATCATTTGTAAACTTTTGTTTCCAAAAGGCAGAATGAGTTATACAATAATGGAAAAGATATGATGCTTAATGTTGCACATTACTGGGATTAGCAATTGCAAAACACTGTTAGAAATCGAGCTGTCAGTGTGGACAACATGGCTGTTCCGTGTGTAGCAACCTTGCGTTGTAGCTTTGGCCTTCTGCATTCACACCCCATGGGATGTTTGTATGTTTTCCTTATCTTTTGTTTGGGTTTCCTATAACAATGCATAAGCATA